TTTTCTCTTTGTGTATATTGAAACCTACTGCTTCTGAGGCTACTGCTACACTGGTCGTCATTTCCTGCATTTGTTGTTGCGTTTGTGATAGAAGAGCCAGATCATCCGCGAAGTCTAAATCGTCAAGCTGCATCCTGCCTGTTCACTGTATCCTGTGCTTCCCTCCAGATGTCGATGTCTCCATGATCCAGTTGATCACCAGAAGAACTCCGCCTGTAGCTCCTCTGATGACTACTGCCCGTCGCAAGCCCGGATAAAGGAGGAGGGTAGGGCATGAGGTCGGCGACTCCATCCTGTAGAAAACCAACTCGTTAAAAAAAACGCTAACCAGAAAAAAATTACAACTAAATTAAAACCTAATATTCAAGATCTTTTTCTTGATTACATCATAAGTGTAAACTACCGAACAGTATATTTGATATTTTCATCTGAAAAAAGAATCACAATCATTACTCTATCTCCAAAAAAAATCAATAAAATTGTGACATTCATATATTGAAAGTGTTATTCACATAGAAACGATATAATTTACAACAAAAAAAAAGAAACAAAATAAGAATATTATAGAATAAACATACAAGCAATGTATTATAGAAGGTAAGACAAAACCAAAGAAACAATGTACTATACTTCTCTCATCTTTGTGTTTAGTTTACTTATATATAAAATGTAAAGAAAAAAAAAGAGGGGTAAATTCATTCATCTTTCCGATTTACTTTTATTGATAATTGATTTATGTATTTTAGACGTAGTAACTAAGTATTGGATACTGTTGAGACTATACCATAGTCATATGTATATCTATTCTTTCATGGTAGAAATAACTTAAACTATAAGTATTGACATATTTCTTCCTTTTCTTTTTTTTTGTTTTTTTTTGTCTCTAAGACTACTATTTGTCTATGATTAGATTGATTATTCTATAGTGATGTATAACTTTTTTGGGTGTATTTATTCATGTAAAGTTATTGCATTGAATGATAAGTTTCAACAACGAAAAAACACAAATAAAACAATAAATCCATTTGGTATTGTTTGTTTGAATCTTCCTATTGATTTTAAGGACTGCAATTGATCAGTCACTTATTGGCATATGTTCAAACTGTGCGTATTGCCTCGACAATATTCCTTTAATTCACAAGCATTATATGTAAAGATGGCCAGCGGCTAGCAGTGGAATCCAGGACGAGCGTTTCGTCCCCATTGCACAAGCAAGAGGTTATCAGGACTAAATAGCTGAGTGGATAACGCGGTAGCGTTTGAAGCAAAACGCATTGGGTTTGAGTCTCAGAGCGAATATCAACTCTGAGATGTAGGTACATTCATCTGATGAGTCCCAAATAGGACGAAACGCGTGTCCTGGATTCCACTGCTAGCCACTGTTCATCTTTGCTTTCAAACAAAACAATATTTCATTATATTTTATGAGAAGTGTCACTTTATGAAAACAGATTTTCCTTTATTTGTATTGATCTTTTAAATATTCTATTTGATGTTTAAAACTGAAAATGATCAGCCTATTTTGATGCATGTGCATCCTCTATCGACTCTCTTGATATTACCTTAAGTCACAAGTATTTTAACCAAAGATGGATGTTCGCTGACTGTGGGATCCAGAAAGCATATTTCGTCCAACTTGAGACTCATCAGCTGCATTTACCTAAATCCCACAGTTTTTGTTTAACACGGGAATGATCAATTAGAGTGTTAAATATCAATGAAAATATTCAAACAGCCAATAATAAAATGAATTTAAATTCAGCCCACTGCACAAGACAGTGTCTATCTAGACTCACAATTTAAATGGATAACATGATATCGTTTGAAGCGAACAGTACTGGTTTTGAATCCCAGAATGAACTTCAATTCTATTATGTCTATACATCCATCTGGAGAGCCAAAACTAGGACGAAATGTGAGTTCTGCATTCTATTGCTAGCCACCATCCATATGTGTTTATAATGAGAGCCCTTCTGTTCAAAATTCAAAGTTATGTACACTTCAGTAGTTCAGTTTTGTTTATCATTACGTTTCTCTCAAATATTTCAATTTCCAACTCCTCGTCAAGTATTATACTTTGTAAATTTCTTTCTTATAAAATCTTTGTAATGTTAAATATGATATCCAAATAATAATGTAATACGTAGTATGACTTACATTTTGATGACATATGGTCAATGGTGATACAGCTGTTAAATGAATAAAATCTATCAGTTATAATACTGACTATTAACTACTAATTTCCTCTTATTATTCAATGGGACTCTTGGAGATGTAAAACACTATGGTATTTATTTTGAAATTCCTAATGACAAGTAAGGTGTCATGATATCTGGAATTCGTATTGTACGGAAATCTTATTTACTAGACTAGACTGTTTTGATACTTGACTCGCAAAATCAATATATTTCAACAAAAGACTGGAATTTCTGTGACAATCCCAATAATGAATATCATGTTGTCCATGATAATATCAATTATTCGTAATGTCTTGGTAAAACTGAAACTGAATACATTCAGATAAACCTTTAGGAAAATCTTAAACAATATGTCTAATTAAATTCAATAACATATTATATTGTCCACACCATAAAAAAATGTAGACGACCATAATACTTTATATTTCTGCATTATGGGTCTCTAGATTCTAAATTGTAGAGTTCACAAGATTTAGTTGCTAAGTCTTGCAACAAAAACAGCAAACCCTTTAAAAAAAAACACCTAAAGTTACTTATCATAGCATATTTTAGGGAAAATCAGCTCCATGATGATAGTAACAACAGTTTATCAAAACAGATTATTAATCTGTACTTATTTAGTTACTTAAGAAAAAAAAACTAAATGTCTTCTAATGAAAAATATCAGTTTACTAATTTCACAAACTTCAGTTGTTATTAGTAACGACAAAATTAATTAAAAGTTGTATATAAAGATCAAATTTCTATCAGTGATGTTTAGATTTTATCCATGAATTTAGAGAGTAAGTAATCCAGACTAATTCTAATGAATATTAAATGTTCTTATAATGAAAAGCTTCCTCATAACTGATTATTCCTTGCATAGTCTCTTACTCAAGAGGACAATTTCTAAGAGGATGACGTAAGAACTTACAAGAAATAAAGAAATTCGAATAAAATTCATGAAGACGGTTCATTTTCAACTAACAGTTAATCAAATGATCAACGTTATAATCCAATAAAAACATATTAGACTTTCTGATAGTAAGTTAGTAAAAGTGTCGAGTTTATGGGATTTCCAGTTCAATATTACAGTGATTCAGAATATGCAATTCATCTCAGTTAATCTACGGATTATATCTAACACCTTGTCCATTTAAGTCAATAATACAGTTAGTCATTTAACATTGAATTAAGTATCTCAACATGCTTATATTTCGGACTTTTTCACAAGAAATTACTGCTATATCCCGATGAGAATAATAAATGGTAACTGTTGGAATCTATTTCTAAACTAGTACTATACATATATTTCCTATTGTATAATTGCTAATTAACTTAACTATTCATAATCGTGTTCCTCTCATTATAAGCTTTATTTTGACCGATAAACTATTATTATATGATTTACCGTTCTCGAGTTATGTCCAGTTTATCAATTATTACCTCCCACATTCACAGCCACTTTTGGTTAAATCTTGTACAAATGTTATTTTCTATTTTATGGTGTAAAGTGGTCTATTTGGTTTCTATATAAACCCAATACATGATTCATATAGCGGAGGCTGAGATTGATATTTTGGACTTAACAGGCAGGGCTAGGCGTGAATAAGGACCGATAAATACTCTAGACTGCTCGTACGGGTTTCATGCGTCAATCTTATTCTTTTCTACTGGAATGATCAATCATAGTATAACTTAGATTTGAATTGAACTATCAATGGTTTAAGATTTACCAGATTGAATTAATTTAACTTATTAAGCCTAAGTTTCACCGTGACACTGTTTATAATAACAATAGAAGTTTAGAAATTGAATCATTTAGCACAAAGAAAGCAACTTGACATGTTTAATATAACCTAAGTCAGTATGTAAGTGAGATTGATGATCAACTAATGTGGAACTAAAATCTGTTCTTATGATTTTTTTTCAAAATGAATCTACGGAAATGCAAACCTGAATATCTTTAAAATATTTAAATACAATATCAATGAAAACTCAGTTTACATTAGAAGGGACGGCCTGCTTGAATATCTGGGCCGCCTATTCCTGCAATCTAGATATTTCAACAAGCTATCTAATTTTCAGAAGGGTTTTTTGTGGAGATTTTAGTAATTTTATATAGTTGAGATCATGATTCAGTTGAAAGTAAACCAGTGGAGCTAATCCATGTCAGGTAGAAACAGGTATCTAACTCAGCACAATGGAAGTTGGTTGCGCAATTTAGTGGATTTGTTGAAGTTAGACATTAACACCATGGATGCCGGCTCAGTGGTCTATTGGTTAACTACTCTGGCGTGTGACTGGTAGGTCCTGGGTTCGAATCTCGCGAGTGCGGGATCGTGGGTGAGCATTGCTGAGAAGTCCGATAATAGGACGAAACGGCCGTCCAGTGTTTCCAGATTTTCCATGGTGGTCTAGCTTCAATTGGCTCATGATCTCAACTAACTAATTTTGTTTGTATTAATACAACATTATTACTATTAATAACATAACCTATTCTTAAATTTGTACAAGCATTCACTGTAAATGTTACAAAATACCTAACCACAGATATCGTGGTCACTGGCAATATGCAAAGAAAACAATGTACATTATTTAAATGTCGATTGAATGGACTGCTCACTTCTAATTGATGATCACTCAATATTTATCGTCAAGATCGACAAAGAAGTAAGAAACAGAAACTTGTTGAAATACTTTATGCTGAGAACTCTATATTATACCATAAATAATAATATTGAATAAAACTAATAATAATAACATCAATAATAATTAAATATCATAATAACACCATTATTCCTATATATTATTAATAATTACCATTTTCTTCTGTGTTGCTATCCCAGTATTTCACTAGTGAATAGTCGTTAAGACACAATCCAATATGAATATGAAACAAAAAAAAATAAGTTAACATTCAATCTGATTTCCAATAAAATTTTTCTCTTTTCATATTCCTTATCATGAATAAGCAAAATATTAGATCATCATTTTATTGAGTTGCATAATTGGCCTTCCTCTCTCACTCTCGCTCTTTTTCTCTCTCTCTCTACTTTTTATTCTCAATGGTTTTAATGTATGTTTATGATAGATATGTCTATAGATAAACAAAAAAAAATAGAAGAAAAACTGATTTCTTCTATCAACTAATTTTTTCATTTGTGCTCTCCAGAAAGAAAAAAAAATTCCATAAACCAATTTTTACTTGATTACATAAAGTTGTTTATGTGTGCTAATGATAATCTAGGAGCTCAATGATACATGCTTTGTTTTCAATCTTTTTTTAAAGTACCTATTTACATATAGATATATATACTGACAATGGTAACATAATTTTGTGTAGAGAAAGATTTACACTGATATATATATATATATATATAGCAAAACAAAGAAATGATAATCTGTATCCGTATAATAGGCAACTTTTAATTAAAGAATGAGCTAAAGATAATTCGTTACTGCATGTGTAAATTTTGCTATTTTTATATAGTTGAAATTATGAGTCAATTGAAGCTAGACAATCATGGAAAAGCTGGAAGCATTCGACGGCCGTTTCGTCCTATTATGAGACTCCTCAGCAGTGTGCATCCACGACCTCGCCTCACGAAATTTGAACCCAGGACCTACCAGTCACGCGTCAGAGCACCTAATCGATAGACCACTGAGTAAATGCCCCAAATGCCCTGGTACAACCAAGAGTAGGAAGAGTCCGCTCTCCCTCTCGAAATACTCTCACATGAACATTCGTATACAGCCTCTGCCAGTGAAGTCCTTCCCACTACGTTTTCGTGGAATTACTGTTGTTTACGAAGTTGAGAGGACGAAAAGCGAATGTCCGGCGCTTTAACCAGGTTGATGGACACGGTAAGTCCACCTAGGGGAGTTGGAAAACCCTGATTCCAAACCAATGGTGCATATGGACTCCAGTATCCTAAAGGAACAAATGGAACAAATCGTTGGTCACCGACTACCATGGGACTGCATCTCCTCACGACATTCCACTGCCTTGTGGATCAGACATTTAGGTCAAAGACTCCGGGTGTGGTCCCCTAAGAAAACCACCTGCTTCGATTTGGGCACCTCGGTAGTATCACAGCCCTCACACAAATCAAATAAGATTTGTGTGGCGCATATTTATCTGGGGCCCCTTTGTACCAATATTTATGTTTTTAAATAAATAATTAAATTTTTATGCATGTGCAAATATGATTTTAAAAATTTCCAAAAACGATTGACCCTTTTTTAATCCAAATCATATTCTTCATCTTTGTGCCATTGAATTTTAGTGAATTTATAGATAACGTTAATAATCTGGACATCAAAAAATTGTTTAAAATTGTTACATGGCATTAATCAGTATATATATATATATATATATCGTTTAAATGTATACGAAAAGCTATTAACAACACGATACTTATTATTTGTTTGATATTGTTTAAGTGAATCTTCCCACTGATGTTTAGAACTCGGTTCGAGTTTCAGAGTGAACATCAACTCTGAGATGAAAGTACATTCAGATGATGAGTCCGAAATAGGACGAAGCGCGTGACCTTGACTCCATTGCTAACCACTATCCATCTTTGTTTAGATACTTATTATGTTATATTGTTTGTTTATTGATGCTACAGTCAACGAATCTAATGTTGAAGTACATCAACTTTTTCCTGTATATGCCTTCTAAAATAGGTTTATTTGAGTATACTAAAATTGTGTGAATTAGTAGTATCTGAAAGTAAGTTACATAATTTCAATAAATTATTGAAAGTATAAGTGAAAGACTAGGCGAACTTATGATGATTGATTTTTTAAAATACTCATTATTCAACATTAAGCAGATGAAAATAAATAGATATTTTCACTGTTGAAAGCATGAATCAATTGAAGTTAGACCACCAAGGAAAACCTGAAAGAACTGGACAGCCGTTTCGTCTTATTGTCGGACACCTCAGCAGTGCGCATCCACGACCTCGCCTCACGAGATTCGAACCCAGGATCTACCAGTCTGGCACCAGAGCACTTAACCAATATACCACTGAGCCGGCATCCATGGTGTTAATGTCTAACTTCAACCAATCCACGAAGTTTTCCTTGGTGGTCGAGCTTCAATTGACTCATGATTTCAACAATGAAAATACCGAAATCTCCACAAAACCCCTTCTGATAAAAATAGATATTTAATAATACCATAGTGATCACATTTTAAACCTCATCTCAATTATACCTTCCTTTTTACTATTCATTATCAAAGATGAATCAAACTCTTCGATTCACTAATAACATTGTTATCCTGTTGAATAGAAGTGTTTCGTTCATTTTTTATGTTATCTCTTGGTTAACTTCTCGATCTAAGTGTTTCATAACTCATCTTAATTACTAACAAAATGTAGCGTCGACTCTGATTTAGAAAATACATGAAAATTTATCTTATACAGTAAACGAATTTATGTTACCAATTTCAATGACAGATGTATTAAAAGAATATTGAAAAACTAAATTGAGAAGATTATCAGTGATAAGGAAGATCCTAACATATTCAAAAACTAGTACTGAATCAATCCATGGAAAACACTTAAAATTTTCTTCAGGACTCACAATGTCCTTCACTAATGATAAATGTTAAATACAATTCAATGTGTTGTTTTAAAAGACTTCAAACAATTTACCATTAAATAATACATTGACTAACTGCTAGTTAAAATGTTTAACTTATTACAACTGATTGAACATACAATTTACTTTGTATAAGAACAACTATTTCTTGAAATGAATATCCTGAAATAATCCCAACTAAGATGGTGGTTGGAGGTGGTCAACAGGAAACCCTGGACCCGGGTTTCGTGCTACTTGGCACTCATCAGCAAGGTTTATCTGTAATCTTGAAGGAACTGGTGCTCCTTGACGGATTCGATCCCGAATCACTCACCTTCATAGTCAGAGATGTTACCACTGCACTAAGAAGGACTTGACATGCATGATATTGATCACCACCCAATGGTCAATCACTTGTGATAATCCTAACTGGACTAATAATTCTAGACTATTACAAACCAGATATAACTTCCTATCCTTTTAACTAATTTAATTTTAGCTTTCCTTTAACGAAAGATGGCTTTTCTGGTTAGCCTTTTTTTAGCGAGTTAGTTTTCTACGGAATGGGGTCGCTAACTCCATGCCCAACCTTCCTCCTTTACCCGGGCTTGGGACTGGCAGTAGCCCCCGGAGGAATTACAGGCGAAGTTTTAACAAAGGATAACTAAACATAAAAAAACCATCAGAAAGATTACTTACATGAATCCAAATTGTAATTCAATAAATAAGTATTGACTTGATAACTTCATGAAATGTACTTTAAACAATCGTACAAAATATATATTAGTACTCTAACTATGAATAGAATGCAATATGAAAGAGAATGAAGAAGTTGAACAATGATTATGTTACATTCTGCTATGTTCATCTGTCTAGTTTTCTTTTTTTTGTTTTACTCTTTTAAAATTTATTTTAACAAGTAAGAATACATGAATCAAAATAGAAAAGAAAAACCACTTTAGATACAATAGAAATCGATATTATTATGAGACAATTATGTTTGCAATTATAAAATGAACAAGATGAAACAAGTTTAACTTTGATAATAAACAAAAAAAAAGAAAAGTAAAATAGATAAGAATGAAAAGAAAAGAAAACTTTTTTAGGGGTTGATACAATACAAGATGCTTTATATACATAACCATATATATATAATTGTATATTATCAGTCAGTCAGTCAGCTACAACGTAGGACCACGCACATATATGCATCGGTTCAAGTTGCCATACCTCGTTAGTACAACAAGATGAACACTGGATTCATAGAAGTAGTTAATTTAGTGGTGGTAATAGATAGTATAGGACGGAAGACAAATATGAAGCAATTGTATATTATTCGATTGAAGTAATGCTAACATAGAAAAAAACAATATCGAAGCATCCATATTATCATGTCATTAAGGTAAATGATGTATAGAAAGTAGAAACTATGTCAATTTATATTCACTTAGTATTGTTTGTTTGAATTTTCCTATTGATGTTTAGGATTGCAACTGGACAGTCACTTATTGGCATATGTGCATACTATGTGTGTTGTCTCGATATAGCCTTAGTTCACGAGCATTGTAAGCAAAGAAGGATAATGGCTAGCTGTGGAATACAGGATGTGCGTTTCTTTCTATTTGGGACTCATCAGCTGGATGTACAATATTAAGTGAATTCAAAGTTCACCCCATTCCACAAGCAAGTGGCTATCTGGACTCAGTAACTGAGTGGATAACGCGATGGCGTTTGAAGCGAACAGTAATGGGTTCGAGTCCCAGAGTGAACACCAACTTTGAAATGGAGGTACATCTAGATGACGCGTCCCAAATAGAACGAAAAGCACGTCCTTGATTTCACAGCTAGACACTATACATCTTTGCTTACTATGTCAATTTATCATGAGCAGTTTTAAGTGTACAATGAGAGTAGTTTTTTTTTTATTGTGATCACATGTTTAACGCAGTTTGTTTGTAATTATAATGTTTGACAATAAAACTAATCAATGTTTTTCATGCAAATTATATAAATAAGATTTTCAGTAAAAAGAATTTGAACTCATTTGGTATTGTTGACATGAATCTTCCCATGAATGTTTAGGATTGAGATTAATCAGTCTTTAATTGGCATATGTGCATCCTGCGCATTTGCCTTAATTCACAGGCATTATAAACAAAGATTTATAGTGGCTAGAGGTGGGATCCAGGACGCGCGTTTCGTTTTATTTCCATATGTGCACATATGCCGACAAGAGACAGATCGATTGTAGTCCTAAACATCAGTGAGAACATTCAAGTAAACAATACCAAGTAGATCTAAACTTCACCCCATTACACAAGCAAGTGGCTATCTGGACTCAGTAGCTAAGTGGATAACACGATGTAGATTGAAGAGAACGGTACTAGGTTCGACTCCCAGAGTGAACACCAACTTTAAGATGCAGGTACATCCAGATGACGCTTCCCAAATAGGATGA